AAGAATATTCTCGGTTGTGACAAATGCTCTGTAAACATTTTTAATGGCTGTATTAAACATCATCATATAAAAAAAAGAAAAAGCTGCTTTCTGCTTTAAAAATGTCATCATGTGAGGTACACTCCTGATACAGAGACACTCCCTGCGCAGTCTTCAGCAGAAGTCCGTGGGCAGATGAGCACAAAGCCACAGCAGCCGGGCCAGCCCCTCCTGCAAGTGTCCGCATTGCCACCGCGGGGCCCCTGTGGTCAAGGCTCAAACTGGCAAAAGCCCCATTGACCAAACCCGAGAGACTGTTGCTATTGTCCTGTTCCCAACTCAGAGAGTATCTGAGTTCTAGAAACCTCTCTCTCCAATTTTCTTGCCCAGTCCTTTGTATTGTCCATTCTAATGTGACTCGTGCCTGGAGGAGAAACAATGTAAATTCTCAGGTGTCCCCTGGTAAAGGCCACTTCCTTGTCTCCCATTTGCAAGGAGCAGACAATGCTGACAAGGCCTTCTTCCAGAAGGTCGCTCTCCTTTCTCCTCTCCTACCCTAGCTTTTGGCTTCTGGCTTCTCTGGAAAGCCCAGGAATTCCACGGATGTTCTCTTTGCCAACAGTTTAGTCTTCGGGGCTTGAGCTGCAGGGTCTGCGGAATTCCTGTCCATACTCGTGGATCCACTTGTTGGCCACTAGGAAAGAATGGGGAGGAAGAAGACAGCGGGCTCAGCAGAGCGGACAGTGACAGTGCTACTCACGGGGCTGTGCAATGGCCTTCAATTCTGCACCAGGCCACTCAGCTGCCTCACCCTGGTCCCAGCCCTGCGATGGACTACATGATGTTGCTTCTAGAAGAGATAAATAGCAAAGAGGACACCATCCCCTGGAAAAAGCCCCTGACAGGTCCTGTCTGCTGTAGACTAATTTTCAAACCTGTGGATTCTAAGAATCACTCCCCTTTCATTCATGTAGCTTCTAAAAGCCCACTTCCCCCATGGTGCCATTCCAGAGTAACAAGAGAAAAGGGGTGGCTTCTCCCATCAGTGGCCACCTCAGCGTGAGAATTCCTCTCCCACTTTTTCTGTCTTCAGAGTTCAGTGCTTTTGGACACATATATGACGTAAACACATCCCTACTTATTTATCTCTTCCTTGTTAGACCATCTCCTCATGGGGAGGCACTTGGTGGTTCTCACCTTGGGATAGAGGACCGGGACTTAGCACCTACTCCTCCTCAGCTGTTCTCAGGAATCAAGGCCCATCTGGTCAGGTCAATAAACTCTTACTGACACCTGTTCTGTGACAGGATTCCTTTGTGGGCCCTCAATCTATTGGGGACAACTACCCCAGAATCTGATTATCTCAATATAATGTGGCGCTGTAATGAAGCTTTTGGAATGAAAGGGCTACGCTATTTTCCTTCCACCCCCCTCTTTCCCTTTATTGTGAACCTCTTACCTCGTTCACATGCCAGAAAGGCAGGCCTTACCCCATTTATCTCCCACTAGGACAGGACAGCCAGCATGTAGTGTGTCATCATCTCCTTTACCACTCCTACGCAGGTTCCACCAAAACAGTGCTGCATTCTGAAAACAGAAGGGCCCACCCCGGGGGGGTGTCAACCCAGAATCTCAGTCTTTGGAAGTACATGACAGAGTAAACACATGCATGTCATTACAAGAAAATTATATGTGCAGATTAGGGGCAAGGAATGCATAAAACGGCACAAAATGTTGTAAGTTGCCATTTACTCATTCATTCATGTATATGCCATTTATTGACGGCCTAGTCTGCTCCAGGCCCAAAAGATGCAAGACAAATCATGTCCAGTGCTACTCTCGGGAGCTCACAGTCTGGTGGGAGAGACAGACATAAAAACAGACCAGGGCAAGACAGCGTGACAAGTCCTAGGAGAAAGGTGAGCATAGGATGTCATTGGATCACTGAGAAGAGGCACTCGACAAAAACCACCAGGTGGAACAAAACATTCGTCATACAGCTAAGAACCTATTAATTCAGATGCTTACCCTTCCTTCGGCATTCGCTAATACCCTTCAGGAAGCCAGCGTTATCACCCCCCCACACCCCCCACTTTATCAGCAAGGAAGTAGAGGCTTAGGGGCTTTAAATCATGTCATTAAGAAGGAGCAAAGTCAGAACTCAAGCCCGGGTGTTTTGAATCCAAATCCTACATGTCCTTTTTTCCCTCCACACCCAGCTTTATTTCCTACAGTCTAACTTTAGCCTTGGCCAACCCATGAGTATTCATACATATCTGCATTTATGTATTGAATACTTAGGATGTGCTGGGCACTGTGCTAAAGTGCTTCATAGACATGATCTCATTTCTTTGTCCTCATTTCATTCCTGAATTCAGTAAGGGCTGCCATCCCTGATTGATCTGAAATTTGAGGGAAATACTCATTCTTTAAACAAACCTCTTACCACATGGCCCTCCTCTGGGCCTCGCCTGATTTCACAGCTCTATTGCTGTAAGTTGTTCCTGCCTGTTACCTTCTCTGTGAGCTCCCAGAGTACAAAGACTATGAGTTTTCCTCGGTACCCTCAGTGCCTCCAGCCAGCCCTCGGTGTTTACTGAATGAATGACTGAGGAGACCAGTTGCTGTAGAGGATCCAAAGGCTAATAAAACAGTTACCTTTGAGGAGATCTATCATAATAGGAAAAGCAGACATGCAATCATCTACTTGTAATATAAGTGTAAACACAATAAAAAATAGAGGCACGATAACATACGGTTGTCAAGAAGACTGAGGGATTACCTTTGATTCCGAGAATCAGGGAAAGGCCTCTTCTTATCCCCCCTCCCAGGAATAAGCTTGCAAGCACAGACAGCATGAAAGCTAGGGTGTTAGGTGCTGCATTCTTACAACCATCCGCTGGGACCAGACCCCCACTCACCTTGACCACGGGCACACTGAAGTTGGCATAGATGAAGGCTGTGGCTCCTCCAGCTTCCACTGAGCTCAGCTACAACACCAGAAAAAGAGCCAGAGTTGAAATAGCCCCTGCCTGCCTCACTCTGCCCTATCTGACATCCGATGACGTTTCTGCAGATTCCCTTCTGTGTTCTCCTATTTCAGAGAATTACTTATTGAAAGACAATCACCCAATTTAGGAATTAAGGGAGTCTATTCAATGGCATCAGTGTTTGCTGGCAGGGCCACAACAGGACAATATTTAGGAATGCCCCTTTCTTTATCCTTCCAGCAAACATCCTTACTGAGGACTACAATAAGTAGATTCAAACTCTGAGACCCTCAGGAGGAAATATAGTTCGTATCACAACCCAAGACACACACACACACACACACACACACACACACACACACACACCCCTGAAGTAAATAGAAGTTTCATAAAACATTCTTGTTACATGAGCTACCCTCTGTTATTTTCCATTTTATCTTATTCTATTCCAGTTCAGAATTCTTAAATGCTAACCAGACTCACTAAATTTATTTCATAGTCCACTAATCAATCATGACCTGTGGCTCACAGAACACTGTTTAGACTACAACGATTAGTTTTGAAAGTTGGGTACCTTAGGAACTACTGATAGCATCTTTGGCATGTTTCCCAGATCACTCAGTTCCTCTCTAGGTAAGTAACCTCAGCTAAGGAGTTTCACCACTGGTATATTCTAGAATTATGGGTGTGTTCTTTTAATATGAGGATTTTTTTTCTGATTGTCAAAAAAATACATTAAAAGTTTTTTAAATATAGGAAAATACTTAAAAGTAATATTACTCATCATTTTACCACCCAGGAAAAAAAAGCAGTGTTATAGTTTACATCCTAATAGTTGACTTTATTGAGGAGTAACTGACTATATGCTAGACATTATACTAAGTCCTTACAAACATATTATCCCACTTATTCTTCACAACAATCCTAAGAATTGTTATTGTTATTATTCACATTTTACAGATGAGAAACAGATTCAGAAAGATTAAGCACTTTACAAAAGGTCACATAACTCTCCAGTGACTGAGCAAGGATTTGAACTGAGCCAATGCTATCTGACTACAAGTTCCTGCTCATAACCTTTATGTTATTACATTCTTGAACACTCAGGGTATTTTCCAATGTTTATTATTATAAATAACACTGCATTGAGCATCTTCATGAATAAAATTATTTTTGCATTTTTAGATTGTTTTTATAAGAAAGAATCTAAGCATTAGTATTAGTGGGTCAAAGTATATGCATATATTTAATATTTTAGTTTGATTGTTTAATTTTTAAATATTTTTATTAAAAATATGGCTAACATACAATATTATATTAGTTTCAGGGGTCCACCATAGTTATTCAAGATTTATATATCTAAAGAAGTGGTCACCATGATAAGTCCAGCAACCGTTTGACACCATACTATGCTATCACAATATTATTGACTATATTCCCTATGTGGTACATTACATCCCCATGACTTATTTGTTTTAGACCTAGAAATTTGGACCTCTTATCCCCTTCCACTTCTATCGCCTTTATAAATTTTTCAATTACAGTTGACATTCAATATTATTTTATATTAATTTCAGGCGTATACCATAGTGGTTAGACATTTATGTAAGTTAAGAAGTGATCCCCCTGAATAATCTAGTACCCACCTAGCACTATACATAGTTATTACCATATTACTGACTATATTCCGTATGCTTTACTTTATAACCCCATGAATATTTTGTAACTATCAATTTGTACTTCTTCATCCCTTCACATTTTTTGCCCTCCCTTTAAGGCCCCTCCCATCTATCACCCCAACAAACCTAGTATCCATCTGACACCATACATAGTTATTACAATATTATTGACAATACTCCTTATGCTATACCCTACATCCCCATAACTACTTTGTAACAACCAATTTGTACTTCTTAATCCCTTCCCCTTTTTTCACCCATACCCCCAACCCCTCTCCCATCTGGCAACCATCAACATGTTTCTGAATCTATGAGTTTGTTTCTGTTTTGTTTGTTAATTTTGTTCTTAGATTCCACATATAAGCAAAACCACATTGCATCTGTCTTTCTCTGTCTGATATACTCCACTCAGCACAACACCCTCCAGGTCCATCCATGCTACCTCAAATGGCAAGAACCCATTCCTTTCCATGCCTGAGCAATATTCCATTGTATGTATGTACCACCTCCTCTTTTTCCATTCTTCCATTCCAGGCTGCCCCCACATCTTGGCTATTGTAAATAATGCTGCAATGAACATATGGATGCACATGTCCCCTTGAAGTAGCATTTTGGGTTTCTTTGTATAAATACCCTGAAGTGGGGTTACTGGGTCCTTCATTGTCCCTTGTTATAGCCTTTGCTTTAAAGTCTATTTTGTCTTGTATAAGTATTGCTACCCCAGCTTTTTTGTTTGTTTGTTTTTCTGTTTCCATTTTCATGAAATATCTTTTTCCATCCCTTTACCTTCTGTCTGCATCTGTCTTTCAATCTGAAGTGAGTCTCTTGTTGGCAGCATACATACGTAAGAGTCTTGTTCTCTTATCCATTCAGCCCTCCTATGTCTTTTGATTGGAGCATTAATCCATTTACATTGAAAGTAATTGTTGATAGAGTTATAGCTATTGCCATTTTATTATTCATACTTTAGATTATTTTTCCATCTTAAAAAAATCCCTCTAACATTCCTTGTAATACTGGTTTGGTGGTGATGAACTCCTTTTGCTTTTTCTTTTCTGGGAAGTTCTTTGTCTGTCCTTCAACTTTTTTAAAAAAGATTTTATTGGGGAATTGGAGGAGGGGAATACTGTTGGGGAATTGGGGAAGGGGGACAGCCAAGTTGTTGCCAAGTTGTTGTCCTTCAATCTTAATTGTAGAGAGCGCAGCTAGTTCAGCTCCAAGTCCAGTCGCCATCTGGCCGCCTGTCGGCAGTTCATGGCCACTCAGCTCAGCTCAAGGTGCCGTGTTCAATCTTAGTTGCGGGGGGTGGGGGGGGAGAGGGGGCACAGCCCCCCCATCCCATGTGGGAGTTGAATATTTTGTGCCAACGCCTTCTGGCCTGCA